TTTGTCCGTGTCTGTGTCTGTGTCTGTGTGTGTGTGTGTGTGTGTGTGTGTGTGTGGCAGAGCCGGATGAACAGAGCTGGCCTCCATGACTGCCATGCAGCTGCACCCACTGCCTCCAAATCAGGTTGGGAGGAGTCAAGAGGGGCCTGTGGAAGGAGGACAGAAGAAGTGTGGGGTCTGTGCTGGGCCTGTCCCACACCCACACACACTACGATTACCATCCGTTTCCTGTCCATGTCTCCATCCCTGCCTTGTTCCCACTACACTGATGACAAATGGCAACTTACACAAAATAAAAAAGTAGGGAAAGCTTTGAATTTGATGTCATGTTGAGAAACTGGGTGTTTGGGTTAATTTCAATAACTGGCTGGAATTAATGCAGGGAGTTTTTGGGGTTTCTCTGATGCCTCCCTTAGTGGCCAAAGTCATGATGATGTTTTGCCAAATAGTGATGCTTGACAAGCTGAATGAGATGAACACACATCAAAAGGAATGCACCACAGGCTATCTACAAGAAAAATAAGAAATGAATACAGTGGAGTGAAAAAATCTTGTGTAAATTAAAATGACAAAAGCCAAGTGGCTGTTTGATTTGATCTTTAATGCCTCTTTTTTGTTTTTACTATCCTTTAGTGCTGGCATTGAAAGAATCAACCTAAACAAACAAGGTTTAAAATCCACTCTTTAAAATCAACTTTGTATGACTCGGCCCTAAACTGAGGGCACTGGTTGAGTCATAAACCACAGTTAAGCCATTTTAAAAACCTGTTGTTCAAAAAGGGGAAAAACTAAATCAAAAGGTTTGTGTAATGCACCACCTGCATGCAGTGAGTAACTGTATCATGTTTGTGTAAGAGAGGAAAGTGGACAGGTCCCTGTTAGTCTAAGCTCTATTCATCTAGCTTGTGTCTTTAATGAACCACATCCTCCATTCTGGCTGTCGCCATTCATTAAGTCCCTCTTTCATCTGCCCCCCACCCCCACCCCTAAAGAAACCACGCTCTCCACAGAAGATGGGAGAACACAAACACAGACCCCAATTAAAAATCCCAAATCTGCCACCCAACCACTGGATCCTGACTCCAAATCCTGGATGCAAAAGAACATGGAGATGGCCAGCAGAGAGGCGCAGGAATAGTTGAATGGAGCATCCATTAAATGAGGAAATACACAACCTGTCTGACTGACAACACAAGAGATTTTCATGCTCAATTAGGGAGCTTCACAATCACTGGTTTCATGGTATCACTGAGAATGCAGTTGTCCGTAAAAAGAAGAGCCCGCGGCCAAAGTCTCAAAATGAACATCATCCGCTTCACTAGACCCATTGCTCAACATATCGTGACAAATGCAATCAAAGCTGAAATAGTTAATTCGGAGCCAAGGACACATTCTCAATACTTGTAGTTCACTCACCAGCAGGCCTATACACCAATTTGTGCACAATCACTAATATTGTCCCACAGAGGTGGCTGTAGCCAAAGCAATGCAATCAATTATTGGTTTATTGGGGAGTGAGGGAGAGGGGCTTAAATGCTAAACACTCAACTCTCAATCCCCATCAGTAAGCTTTCTCTTTTCAAAGTGTTTCTAATTGCCAGGCTGCAACCTTTCTTCTTTCCCACCCTGAAAAAAAACTACCAACCAGGTAATAGCGCCTCAATGCTGCGGCTCATGCTTATCTAAAGTGCAACATACTCACTCCATCAAGTCCACGTAGCCTTTCAGATAAGTATTCACACTGAAAAGGCCAGAGGAACGGAGCCAGAGTAAAATCTGATACACAACAAATCACTGCCTGCCAACAGCATGTGGTGAGCTGATCCGACACAGATCCAACCCACGTACAGAACCCCCTGCCTCCATCACGCAAGTCAGATTTGTGCAGATCTGCACGGCAGAGGAGGAGAAGGAAGGGCTGACATACCATGTGGATCATCAGTGATCGGGGCTGCCAAAGAGCGGCGAAGGCAAGACTTATGAAGCCAAACCCGTGACTCTCCTCTGGCAGCCTTAAACTAAGTGGAGCTGAAATTTGAACATGCAAGGGAACTATTTAAGGTCATACTTTTTCAATCCTGGGAGGCACACACACACACACACACACACACACACACACCTTTAATTCTTGAGTATATGGCACACAGAAGGATAAGATTATGAATAGGCATGCAAGTCAGACTGGAAACATTCCTGTGAACTTAGCATCACAGTAAACACATTTGATAACACTGTGCTCATGGAAACTGAGGCAGATGTACAAAGCCATACAAGTTACTCACAGTTTACCCTTTTTGACATGCTTAATTGGCCCTGTGCACCCACTCACCCAGAAGTGTGCGTGACAGTTGACCACCATGGTGCGCTCGATCAGCTCATCGGGGCACTCCAGAAGGTGATGGCCGGAGACGACGCCGGCGTTGTTGATCAGTATGTCCACATTTCCCACCTCTCGACGCACCTTCTCGGCTGTGGAATACACACTCTCCCGCTTTCCCACGTCACACACATAGGTGTAGACCTGCGGCTGGAAAGGAGGGACCTCCTCCACCCCTCCAACGGGTCCTACAGGGGGAGAAGAGATGGAAACAGATGATAAAAGTTATCAATGAAAAGTTTGCTCAGCAGCCTGGTTCTTAGTGACTAAGTATTGTTATTTTGACAGTCTGCACATACAATTATTATTATACAGGGATCATAAAGAGGCAAAATCATAAAGAGAGTCCACCTGAACATGCAGGTAACAGAAAATATGAGATTGTGTGCAACCATGTCCACATATGTTGCTATGTGAAACATTTCAGTGTGTTTATTGTAACAACAATGCTGTAACGAGTATCCTTTAAATATAATTTGCCACTGCAGAAACAAAACAGAACGCCACCTAAGTACAGCAATATCGCTGACCGTGCGTAAAATAAAAAGAAAACACTCATAACATCCTAATTACTGCAAAGAAAGCAGACTTACCGTCTTTCGTTATGGGAGTGTCTAGTTCATGGTATATCTGCCGCACCATCTCCGCCGTTTCCTCATTGCTTTGGCTGTTTATGTCCCATAACACCAGTATCGCTCGTCTCCGGGCGAACTCCTTGGCGAAGAGCCGCCCGAGGCCGCTTCCAGCCCCGGTGATCACGCACACCTGTCCCGCCACGCTCTTCTCCTTGGGCCGCACAACCCATTTCGCCCCGGCAGTCACAAAAGCCCAGAGCACCTTCAAAATGACCACGAAGAACTCCGCAATAATGATCATCATGTTGACCGATCAATTCAAAACACGCAGCGGTTGGGGGAAGAAGCGCTGGAAGTGAATGTTTCCCTTTCTGGAAGACCTGTTTGCAGCAGATAGGTAGAGTCACAACTCACGCCGACAAAACTTGGGACCGCAGTGCAAGGCAGGAAACGCAACAAAACAACACACAACGCTCATACAAAAGAAATAAGTGGCGCAAGCAGGAGCGCAAGTTCGGAGTGAAAAGAGAGTTGAGATGCGGCTCAGTCAGAGTCCAGTTGCCACTACAGTTGCAGTGAGTTATGAGCAGCTACTACAAGCTGAGCCTCCTACTTCCTCTGCTGCTCCTCCACTCATCTCATCCCCACTCGCATCTCGCTCGCTATTTATTCAGTCCACCCATAACTGCTGGACCCAATAGGACTCAGGCTTGAGCGCCTGTCAGAATGAAGCGCCAGGTCCACACACTACACTCAGAGGTGATGTAACCTAAAAGATTTCAACCTAACACTGAGCTGCTGCGGTTTTTTTTTTTTTTCTTCTCCCAAATCTAAAACTCTCATAGGAAGATATCAGAGAATTCCTACCCATTGAAAGCCACTGCTGTCTGTCCCTCTGGGCTTTATGAATACATGAATGAATGAATAAATAAAAAGATTTAGCTGCCAGTTACACAAATAAGAATGTCCGATTAATTATCCCATTAGTCTTGATTCATTTTATGGTGGGGTTTAATTATATTCTTTTTATTAGGATTGTAGAAACTTTGAGCTGGGTTTTTTTATTATTTGATTTAAAGAAGTGAGCTGTCTAAGACCCTCACTATTTACTGACAATGACCCATTTTCGATCTGTTCATTGAGAGTGAGAGTGGGTCGATAGGTAGGCGAAGCACCCAGACTGACGTTTAAAAAGGCTGGGCAATACCGATCCATATGTTTCAGTGAGCAGAATACATGAAGGAAATTATGACGGCCTCCACACAGACAGACGTGCTTGTTTTCCATAAGACGCACTTGTGTGAGTTCAATGTAAAAGGCGTTATTCACCATGTATTAATATATAGGCCTGTATAAATATATATTCCAACAGTTTTTCTGTTGAAGCCACGCTTGCGGCGTTGTGTAACGTCCTGCGGCAGCCTTTGAGAGGTCCTGGCCCCTGTGTGGTGGGCGAGTATGGGGACCAAATCGCGGGTGGGAGGATCTTCAGATCTTAGTGTAATACCAAAATGTGAATATCGCACTTCAAACTTATGCTTCAGAAAACGTAATAAAAGTTGCCATACTTATTCTGAAGGTCCCTTACAGAGCAACCATGGCTTATTGATGGCTATTACTGATCAGAATCAGAATCAGAAATACTTTAATAATCCCAGGGGGAAATGATTTAAAATGATGTATTAAATATAGCCCTCCATGGTATTTAGGCCCATGTGTTTTAAAGATCTAAAATGATTTGCATAAAATATTGCACAGAAGAGAAAAAGTGAGCTATAAAGTAACCCAAAACGGAAGTACTCACGTGAAGTAAACTGTGGCACGCCTGTACTTGGACCTCACTTTTTAATCAAATTAAATGTGCGTTTATAACAAATGCATTTGGCCGCTGAATTCTATATGAGCTTTAAAGTTAATCTACAACGTATTGTTTCTTATTTCCATAACCTTGCCGTGCATCACACTGCCTGTGTTTTACAAGCTGAAGTAGGCAAGGTGGTCTTTTTCCCCACTGAGATCCAGGATCCAGCGGAAAAGTTCAGCGAAGGAAACTTTCCCATTCAAACGCTCTGAGATCCAGGTTTGCAAAATGAAGTGTTTGCGCCCTCTGCCGGATCAGCGAGTGCATAACATGGATGTATTATCTATGGTGCATCACCATCACCTGTGGGAAGCTACTGTCATAACGTACATTAGATCTTATTTCACAAGTTACTGTCGAAAATAGGCTAGAATGACAGAATAAACATTTTAAAGTTAGCTTTAACCTCAGCTTTTTTTAGAGCTTGTAACTTGTAACCACAATCCAAACAAAACAAACAAATTACCGAGATATAAACAATTAAGAGGCCATTTAACTTATAGTTAGTATTACAAGAGAGCACTAACGACTCCATGCAATATTTAATCTAAACTATGATTTTAAAAGACTTTGTCAGGCTAACAAAAGAAACGTACAAGTCAGGCAGCTGGAAGGACAGCCCGTGGAGGTCCTAAATCCTTTAACGCGCACATGCGCAAAAGAAGATTTCTCTTTCTCGGTGGACGCAATGGCGGACGCAGAGTGAGTGCTCGCTGCCCTTTCAAAATCTAAGCACATCCAGTGTTTAAATAACCATCTTTGTTAATTTTACGCATTGGATAGATTGTGTACTTCGTATGCATCATATCCCTCGTAGTATTGTTAAGGATTGTCATTCTTATTGTTGTTAAGATCACTTTATGGAGACTTAGGTGTTTCCGTAGTGGCAGTCCAACATGGCTGTCTGTCCAGTCTTCGTGCATTCGAGAAAGATGTTAGTTTCTGTGCTAGAAAGGAGAGCAAAGGGAAACATTAACCTACAGCTAATGTGTGGTTGTTTTTTATCACACAGTTTGTGCTTCATAGACACGTAGGCTAACTTTAGAGTGAGAAACGCAACCTGTATGGAAGCCGGTAAAGGACAGGTTAGCAAACCAGCAGCTAGCTTCCAGCGGGGGTGATGAGTGTCTGTTTAGTCAAATATCCTGTGCTCATAGTCGATATTTTAAATCTGTTTCCAGTTTTGGTTTCTGACATTTTGTATCCCCGACAGAAAAAAGGTTCCGGCGGTCCCTGAGAGCCTTTTGAAAAGGCGAAAGGCCTTCGCCACCATGAAGGCCATGCGTGTCAAGAAGATGCTGTCTGAGAAAAAAGTAAGCAGCATGCGTGTATAATGGCTCATCCAGAGAAGAACCGATGTGACTACTGTGTTTTATCTGAGTGGTTTAACATGCGAGTGGGTTCTGAAGTCCTTGCGTTGAATGGGTGTGTATTCATTGTGTGTCCGTAGGCCCGTAAAGTGACCAGGAAACTGATCTACAAGAGGGCTGAGCAGTACCACAAGGAGTACAGGCAGATGTACAGGCGTGAGATCCGTCTGGGCCGCTCTGCTCGTAAAGTGGGAAACTACTATGTGCCAGCTGAGCCCAAGCTGGCCTTTGTCATCAGGATCAGAGGGTGAGTAGTGTCCCCCCACCTGGGGAGAGGACTGTCCTACTAGTCATAAGTTACATTTACATGGATTGCAAGACTTCTAACTTGACATTTATGCTCAAGCTGTCAATCAGTTAATCATGTTCCTGCTCATGTGCCATGCTGCGTTACCTGTTAATGGCTGATGATGCCCTTTCCATGTTGTGGAAGGTTTCTTCTGTTTTCAAACAGTTTATATATTGTGATGTTCAATGCAATCACAAATCAATTAAAGTAAATGTGTATTGGTGAGGGTCTGCTCTTTAGAAGGCACTTTCATTCAGTAGTACTTTAGTTATTATAGCAATCCATGTAAATGTGCTTGCTTGAATTGTAAATGCTTGTGTTGGTTGCGTGGTTAATGATGCACACTCTTTCCCCGACTGATCGACTATGGTGATACAGATATGCAAACTAAGCCAATTATTTCTGAAACCACTATCTGTAGAATAGGTCAGAGCTACATACTGATGCTGATCTATATGCTAATAGTGATCATGTTTGTCTTCCAGTATCAACGGTGTCAGCCCCAAGGTCCGCAAAGTTCTGCAGCTGCTCCGTCTGCGCCAGATCTTCAATGGTGTGTTCGTCCGACTGAACAAGGCTTCAATCAACATGCTCAGGATTGCTGAGCCTTACATCGCTTGGGGGTATGGCTGTTGTCCCTTAAAGTTTATGATGATGGAGGCAAACGTAATCACAAAACGTAGTGCAATACCATTGTGGTCCATGCTAAACATTTGTAATTTATAAACTGTAGTTACTCATGGTGTACTCACCACTTTCACTGCTTATAAATGTTTTCTCTGGAATGTGGTTAATGATGCTGAACTTTTTTCCCCATCTTATCGACCATGGTGAATACTGACTGAAACTAAGCCAGTTTTGTCTGAAACCACATTCCATGATAGTAATAGAGAAATAGTTTATATATTGAGATATATATATTGAAAATAAGTTTAAGGTTGGATTAACAAATACATGAATGTCTTGATTGGGGATACATTTACAGTTTTAATAAGGACTAACAATCAGTTCAAGACGACCCACAATAGTGACTTTGGAAATGTTTTTTGTTTTCCTCCTTTAAAGTATTGTCAATCCTTCAGAATATTATAATCTGGGCTAAAACTTTATTTGTATTATCTGCCTACAGACAGTTTAGAGTATTTGAAACAGTTGCTTTGTCTGGACATCTGGAGAGGTTCCACAGATTATCTAGAGTATATGTAACAATTCATGAACATACCCTAACCAGGATTCTTTTGTGCCTTAACCTAACCAAACCTCTGATTTGTGAAACAGTTGAAT